CTCCTGGCTTTGGATTGGCATAGTATCGGCCGTTGCGCTCACTTGGGGAGTGAGTCATCGGATGGAAGATCTTCCTCTCTGTCTCTCCTCTCTGTATATCCGCCTTTCCAGTGAAAAAATAAAAAAATAAATCTTTAAAAAAAAAAAAAAAAAAAAAAAAAAGAAAATATTGGTACTGTTGCATTTTACCTTGTAATACCAATTTTATTAACATAACAATCTCAATTGTTTTTATTTTAAATTTTATAAAAATTTAATTAATGTATTAATGCTATTCTTAATATATTAATATTCTAGGAAAATATTTAAAAGTATTATTAATTATGTAACATTTTCAGAATTTTATAAAAAGTTAAAGCTTTATTTTGTTAAAAGTTTATACAAGAATATCTTTATGAATTTATTAGAGCCATCAATCAGTGGTTAAATACTTGCCTTGCACATGCTAGGATCCTGTTTAGCTCCCTGCGTGCAGCCTGGGAAAGCAGTAGAGGATGGTCCAAAGCCATGGGACCCTGCACCCGCGTGGGAGACCCAGAAGCTCCTGGCTCTTGGCTTCGGGTCGGCTAAGCTCCGGTCACTTGGGGAGTGAATCAACAGATGGAAGATCTTTATCTCTGCATTTCCTTTTCTCTGTAAATGTGATTTTCCAATAAATACATCTTTAGAAAAAAGAATTTATAATGGGGCTGGCATGCTAGGTCAACAGGCTAATCCTTCTCGTTCAGCGCTGAGTGCATATTACGCGAGTGAGACGGAAGCTGTCGGCAAGGATATTGAGCCCAGAAGGGGCAGTATCTGTGTTCCGACGATGGAAGAGCTGTATTCTTAGAAGTTGATTAAGTCACAAGGACCATTTGGAAGATTGTACGGACACAGTGTGACGCATTGGCAAATGGCTTGCCAGGTGCCTAGCCTTGAAAGAACCACGTTAGAACCAGAATGAAACCTTGGTGATAAATGGGTCCAAAGTGACAGCTGAAATCTGCGGCTTGAATGAAATGCAGGTGCAGCCCTAGTTTTGTCCTGGAACCTGTTCTTCGGGGGCTCTGAGTGCTGGGGGCAGAATCTGGACTGGTGACTGGGGTCAGTCATTGCCGGAGGCCCGCTCCAGCCAAGAGAAGGGTGCGTGGAGTCGGCGAAAAGACACGGGCCCTGTCACTTGGCGCCCTCTTGTAACGGCTCAGGAAGCTGTACTTTTACTCAGCCACATCACAAGCCCCTGCACAGTCTTTTGATTGTTCTATTTTTACTTCATGACTAAGTGGGTGTGCACAGATGTTTGATTCTTTTATTTTTTACTTCACGGTCAACCAGGTGCTCTTAAAGATAATTCTGTAAGTTACCATAATCATTTTCTTCAAAGCAAGCCATTATTCATTCTTCAGCAGTAGCCACTGAGTGACAGCCAGGACTCCAAGGCCAAGGCACATGCGGTCACCTGCTAATCAGTAATACATTCCTGCCACATTTCCATTCCACAACTTGCCCATCATTTAATGGGAGAAATACATCACAAGGGAAAAAACATAAAAATCCAAGACAAAAGTTTCAAATATTAAATCCCCCTACAACTACAGGCTCTATAACCCCATACACAATCAAACAAAAATTAAAGGCATATCTTTGTAATATCAATAAAAACATCCTTTAATTCCTCTAGCCAAAAATTATAGAAGAGGCTAAAACAGATACATTCCCTATGCTCCAAAGAAATTGCAAAGACAGGCTAGCCTTTAAGGTCACAACAACTGTAGTTATCGCCATAGCCATTTCAGCTCATACTCCCATCACTTCCGTTAGTTTGTGAGATTCTTATCAAGCCATTTCCCAGAAGGCACGCTACATGTCTGGGCTAGATTCCAGGGCGATGGGTAGGCACACAATAAGGTGTCCAGAAACGGCATGGGCTTAATTGTGCCCCTGTGTGCAGTTAAAAACCCACTCACTGAAACATTATCAGTGACATTAACTCCCGAGCTCATGTCAGTTACAAAAGTTACAGGGGCAAACAACAATGCCTCCATAAGTTACGGGATTCTTAGTGGGGTGGTTGAGCATCCACGTGTCAAGGTGGTGCAACTGCGTCAAGGTGGTCAGAGAGAAATCCGCCTGGCCTTGCCAAACAGCTGGAAGCTCCCCCGGGCCCTGCCAAGCAGGGGAGCTGTTCTCTTCACACCTTCGTGTCATCCACACCCGCTGCGTGGGCGCCAGCAAGTCACGACTCAGGAGAACCAGGATACAAAAGTCACACAAGGAGAAACTGACTCCGTTCCTTGAAATAACTCACAGTAAATCTTCCAACCACGTGGCAAGGGAATGATATTGGAAACACAGGAGGTAAATCCCTCACTAAGCAAAATCAGAGAAGAAATCATGTGGGTGCAGTTCTGAGGCTGAAAGCATTGCCAACCCTGCCAGATTCATCCTAAACTCCAGGTCCCGTGAAAACGCCAGAGCCCAGGCCACTTCCCATACCGCTCAACATGTCTGCTCTCTCCCGTTTGTAACAGATCCTGAGGACCTGGGCATTGTCTCTGAGGCAAAGAAGTGTTTTCTGGTGCACGTGGCTTTGCTCTTATGATTGCGTTCGGCATCCTTTGCTGCCATGACCACGTTGGTCAGCTTGGGGTCATCTGTTTCACAAACCCCTGGTGGAAAACCTGAACCCTCGTGTGTGGACAAGGCCAAAGCAAAGCAGCAGGCTGACTCCAATCCAACCTGTCAGTCCAGGTGTCTTTACAGATAGAGTGATGGGAAGAGAACATGAACGGCTACAATTCAGATGTCAGAAACCATCCTTTACACATGTCTGCTTCATAGAACCAAATGCCAAAGGGCAAGCTTCGCCAGAGACACCAGGGACACCTCCCAAGGACATTTGTTGGATATTGCTAAATCTTCTTTCCTTATTCCTATCCAATCCAATATTCTAGAGCAATTGAACTAAAAGTTAATAATTTTGTCATGATGCAAAAGTAAATGAACATTTGATTCCCAAACAAGTTGTAGAAAGTAAATAAGAAAAAACTTGACTTCTGGTCTTAGTGCTGTTTCTATCAAGTACAATGAAGTGCTGTAAAGTGGGGTTGGAGCTGTGGCATACAAATGGGTTCATCTACCTGCATGCCCACCCGTATCCCATACCGGTGCCGGCTCCTGTCACAGCCGCTCCACCTCCAATCCAGCTCCCTGCTAATGGCCTGGGAAAGCAGGAGAGAATGGCCCAAGTCTTCGGACCCATGCACCTAAGTCGGAGACCTGGAAGAAGCTCCTGGTTCCTGGCTTCATCCCGGCTCAGCGCTGGCCATTGTAGCCATTCAGGGAACACAGCAGTGGATGGAAGATCTCTCCATCTCTTCTCCTTTCTCTGTAACTCTGGCTTTCAGCAGGTATGCAAGGCCCGAGGCTCTCTGAGAACCAATAGGTGCCTTGCTCCTTATCTTCCTCTTTATGCTGGCTTAAGAATAAGTTAGCATGTATGGCCTTAGTAGTAATGGAAATTATAATAATGAGGTCTTTGAAGAAGGAATTTCGCTACAAGGCGACAAGAACCAGAACAACAAAATAATAACAAATGTGCCAGAAAATCATGACACAACTGAAGGGGAGAGTGCACGCCCACTGCTGCAATTTGTCATCCGTGTCTTTTCCAAGAGACCCAGGCAAGGCCCAGGTAGGGTGTGCAGGCAGTGGTGATCCTGCTGGCCAAGCTGGCAGCTTCCGCTTCCTGTGCCTGGCAGCTTCCGCTTCCTGTGCCTGGCAGCTTCCGCTTTCTGTGCCTGAGGTATCCTCTCTGGGCACCCGTCTTGGAACTGCACAGGTGGCAATGAGATCATCTGAGACCAGCGAGGTAGGCTTGGGAGCACAGGAGAGAGCATCCGAGTTCCACTGAGTCAAATGACACTCCCGCTGGACCCAGGGACACCCCGGAGCCGTGCTTGAGGTGTCCCTCCAAGGCTGGCAGAACAGCAGACATTTACAGGTAACTCCAGTCAGGCGGAACCCCTTTAATGCACCCCACATCTGCTGTGGCCCAGTGGGTGCGTATGCAGGTGTGTGTGTATTATAAATCCATTTTTACTTCGTATCTCATAAGGGGCTAAGAGAAAAAAAAATCACGTAGGATAATGAACTCCACAGAAACAACAAAAATCGGATTAAAAGTTGGCAAGATAGGGTACGGGTTTATTTTTAAATGCCCAACGCCACTAATCATTACGGAGATTCCAATCCAAACCACAGGAAACATGACGTTACCTCTGTTAGGACGCCTACAAGACAGCGAGCGTTGGCGAGGGCTGAACGCAAAGGCATGCTGGACACGTCCGGCTGGCGCGTAAATCAGCGCAGCCATCAGGGAAAACGCACGTTTCCTCACAAAATTGTAAGGAGAACTTGCAGGAGTCAAGCCCTCTTGGTCTACGGGTGGGTACCTTTCCAAAGGAAACGGAATGTGTCCATCAAGAAGCACTCCATGTTCATGGCGGCACTGTTCCCGACAGCCAAGATTCAGCCTACGCTAACGAAAGGAGAAAGAAAAGGGGTTATAGATACACAGCGGTACGCCTTAAAAAATAATAAAATCCTGTGATTGCGCCTTGAGAGGAGCTGTGAGCTGGGGGTCACATGTTTGCCGCTGGTTTCGTGGTGTAGTGGTCTTTGTGTTGCTCACATGCGTCTGAGTTTGAGGTTTGAATCCCGGCAGAGAAGGGTTTTTTTTTTTTTTTTTCCACCCCATGAAGCAACTCTAGATCTCGTCTGGACGGTTTCATCGGCTGCTCCCCAGCTTCTTCCCCCGAGCAAGGTGTGACTCGGGAAGTCCCCGTGGAGCGCCCAGAAAGAAATCCATACCCCTTTTGGGAAGGGACGCTCCCTCGGCGGAGCCCTGGTCGCGTTTGACCTTCTCTGCGCTCCAGTTCGTCCCGAGCTCAGAGAATGAGGCGCAGGTGTGGGTTACCCATTGCCCAGGTGGAGAAGTAAAGCTCTGCTTTACTAGGGGGGAATTAGCTCAGGTGGTAGAGCGCTCGCTTAGCATGCGAGAGGTGGTGGGATCGATGCCCACATTCTCCATCCTTTGTTTTAAACTGTGGTCTGGTTGGTTCCTTTGGCTCCGAACTCAGCGCCCTCTTGTGCGCAGGGGGCACAGTCCTGGGATGGTCTCTGAAGGTGAGGACAGTGGGAAGGCCATCCGTGCAGAGTCCTTGGCCCTGCTGAACCCTCCAGAAAGCCAGCTCCGATGGAATCTTCTTGTGAAGTCCTCTGCCCGTGAACATGTGCGTCTCGTGAGATTCAACAACTCATTATACAGTTGTAATCATCGTTCAAGAAGTAAGGACATACTCCTCTGAAACGGGTAGGAAACAGAGTCTTGGTGCAGGAACAGAAGCTAAGGAGACGCTACCCGCCTCCCCTCCCAGGCTGAGAGCACACTGCTGCCTGATGCCCCAGCCTCTCTCACACCTAGGAAATGCAGCAGCCTCAGGCTCAGGGCATCAGTGGTTCTGCTGCACACAGTCTCCCTCCAGAGCCACACAAGCAGGTGCTGCTGGATGCACAGGTGCTGCTGGATGCACAGCCACCCTCTCCCTGGGTGCTCACACCTTCTTCTTCCACAGGGACAGGGAAGCTGAGACCCTGCCCTCACCCAACCTGGCCCTGACAGCCCTGTCTGGGACAGCATCCCTTCCAGAGCAAAGGCAGCTCCCCCTGCACACACACACACACACACACACACACACACACACACACACACACACACACACTCAGCCTCACTCACCGGAGCAGTCTGCAGGGCTGTGGCAGGAGCTGTGGCAGAGCAGCACAGCCAGGCCTGTTTATCCTTGCCTGAGTCCCAGCACTCAGGGACACTCTCCCTGCTGGCTGTCAGCATGTCAGTGTGATGAGTTTGGCTCCTTCTATGTGGGTCCCTGGGGCCAGCTCTGCCCTCTCCCTGCTGTGCCCTTGACTGTTGAGTCCAGAAACTTCTTGATCCCAATTACACTGAACTAATGAACAGAAGGCAACGTCTCAGAGCGGTCCAGGTTCTGGAACTTACATCTCGTCTCACCTCTGCCACTCACCACCAACACTCAGAAAACAGCTTAGAAGAAACATCTGAGTCAGAAGCGATTACTTTCCCAGCTCTCTGTCAGAGAGATTGTGCTGTCCAGAATGGACACAGCAACAATCTCACAGCTCCAGCTGCAGGAACAGCTGGGCAGGTAAGCCAGGGCCAGAAGGAGGGGGACCCAGAGGAGCTGTCCTGCCCTCACCCCCTCTGAGCTCCCAGTCCTGTGGCCCCTGCTGCCCTCCCGGGCTCCCTGACGCTCAGCTCACACAGTCCCACCTGAGGCTGCCAGGAGCCCCCAGGCCCTCACTCGGTTCTCAGGGTCCCTGTGCGTGACACGATGCAGCGTACGACTGGGTGATGGGTCACTGCCTCTGTCGGTGGAGTTTGTACACAGGCATGGAGAAAATCCAGGCGTCTGGGATTCCACAACAAGCACAAGGAATTCCTCGAGTCTTTGCTAAAGGTCTGAGATGGTTTGTGTCAAGTCTGCAGACAGCTTTACATGGAATGGAGAGCTTTAAAATATGAAGGCTTCCAATCCATGGGTGGGGAACACATTTTCCCATTTATTGTTTGAATTTTTTCAGCAATGATTTGTACTTTTTAGCATCCGTGTTCTGTTGTTTTTATGTTCAGGCTGTTTTTACGTATTTCGTTCTTTTTGAAACCATTTTAAGATTTATTGGTTTATGGGAACAGCATGATGGCTTAGCTGGCCAATCCTTCACTTCCAAGCACAGACATTCCATATAGACGCTGGTTTGTATCCCAGCTGCTCCACTTCCCATCTAGCCCCCAGCTTAGGGCCAGGAAAGCACTGGAGGACGGCCCAAAGCCTTGGGACCCTGAACCCACATGGGAGCCCTAGAAGAAACTCCTGGCTTCAGATCAGCATAGCTCCAGCCAGTGTGGCCACTTGAGGAGTGAATCAGCACATGGCAAATCTTTCTTTCTGTCTCTCCTTCTCTCTGAAACTGTGGCTTTTAAAATAACAAAAAAGAAAAGAAATCTTTATTTTTTTCATTTTTGCATGTTTTTTCTTTTTTATTATATTTTTTGACAATCTTTACATAGTTAATCAGGGTAAAAAGGTTCAAGGGTTACAAGAAAGTGGGTAAGACTATTATTTCCATATTGTTTCTTTCATATATCTGAGGTAAAGGGAATATTGAGGGAGAAGCCCCACCCAGTCTCCCACCCACTCCAGGTCCCGGATGTGGGGCATGCTCCGAGGGTCTTGCTCAAGTGGTTTTGATAGTTCAACAGTTATGAATTGCTGCCAATCTCACCACTCCAAGCACGATGAGGTGGTTGGAGAATTCACTGATTGACACAGTCCCTCATAGAGTCTCCGTTTGCCCAGTATTTTGCTGCCAACATATAGCTGAGATGGTTGATTGACTTGTTCTGTCTTCTGTCTTTTCTTGGTTAGGGTTCTGAGTCTGGCAGTTCGATTGGGGGGATCCCCAAAGAAACTTTGTCTGAGGCTTTCAAAATAACAAAAAAGAAAAGAAATCTTAAAACACACACACACACAAACATATACTAAAGAAGAATAAAACACTAAGTCATTTTTCCAAATATATTAACATATTTTATTCCTCTTTAGGATTTTTTAAAAATACTTCTTTCCTTTTTACGTACTTTACATAAATGTTTGGCAAATTGTTTACAGATTATCTTAAGAAGTAAAATTAGCATGCAAACTATTTCTCAAATTAGGTATGCTATTTTCTGCCCAACAATTCTTTTACTTTCATATCATCTCTGAGCATATTTTTAAATTATTTTTTATTAAAAACTTCTTACTGAAAAGAAAATTGAGAATGAGACTGGCCAGAAGTTATCACACCCTTCGGATGGTTTTTTGTTTGAATAAGTAGACGGGGTTGGAATTCTTTGAAAAATATTCTGTCTTGGGCAGCAGGTGGTAAAAGGAAGAACTGCAAAGAATTTCTGAAATGTTTGAGTAGTGTTTGGTGGTGGTGTGTACCAAATGATTTGGGGTAACTTCAGACGCCTGACAAGAGGAGCCAGGAGACTCTTGGGGGAGGAGACGCAGACACAGGCAGATGACTAGATCTATCCGAGCTGACCTCGTGAGGCCTCGTCTTTGATACACTGGGTTTGCACGCGGGTGTGCGTGGACATGCGTGCGGCATACACATCTGCTATCTTTGCTCAGGCAACAGAGCGCTCTGGGCGCTGGGATCTGCGTCGCCGGAAGCAACCAAGTCTCCCTAAAGTCGCAGCTGATTGCAGAAGTGGAGACAGACATAAAGCGTTTAAGTCACAAAGCGCAGAAGTTCCACAAGACAACACACGGTGGCGCAACAGGCTCATCGTCGGCACACAGTACCACAAAGGCCGTGGTTGGTGTCGCTGCTTTTCAACCTCTCAACTAGCTCCCTGCTGAGGGCCAGGAAAGCAGATGACCCAAAACCTTGGCACCCTGCACCCGCATGGAGACCCAGAGGAAGCTCCTGGCTCATAAAAATAAAGATTTAAAGAAAAAGAAAAAGAAAAGGAAAGGAAAAGAAAAGAAAAGAAAAGAAAAGAAAAGAAAAGAAAAGAAAAGAAAAGAAAAGAAAAGAAAAGAAAAGAAAAGAAAAGAAAAGAAAAGAAGGGGAGGGGGAGAGAGAGAGAGAAAGCACGGAACCAAACAGGAAGTTGCAGGGACGTGTCTCAAGACACAAGCTCCAGCTTGATGGGCACCAGAAATTGACGTCCGTCAACCCCTGTGCACACAGAGAAAAATCTTCACACAGAAATAAAGCTGTGCAGAGATAAAGGTAAAAGCGCGAAGACCGACAGGTTCGTTAACAAAACCACCGGAGGGTAGAAAATGCGATAAATATTCACAACGTGGGTGAGCCTGTGATGATCTTCTTGCTGGAGCACTCTTGCAGTCTTTTGAAATGAAGCAGTCTCTAAGCCATGTGGAGCGCGGGGTGGGAGGTAACCCAAGGGGACCCTGTGTCAATGCCAGGGGTGCCCCCACCCTGCGCGCTGCCGCCTCCGGCCGCCCCTCCCGCCTCCCTGCCGCTACCCTGCAGCTCCTCCTAATTTCTCGTTTCGCTTTTGCTTTTCTCTCTGTTTCGTTTGCAGCCCTGGGTACTTTGAGCAATGCACAGGTTGCGCTGATCCGCCTCTTCCACGTCACCCCGCTCGCAGCAAGCGTCCTCCCTCCCTGGGCACTGTAGGACTCGGTGCATGCCCCGTGACAGGAAAGCCTTAGAGGGCAACCCTGCGGAGACGAGGTGGCCGAGTGGTTAAGGCGATGGACTGCTAATCCATTGTGCTCTGCACGCGTGGGTTCGAATCCCACCCTCGTCGCTAGGCAGTTCCTGCTTTTAGGGTTTACAAACTGCTCCCCTAGTGGCTGCAGAGAGACCTAGAACAGTCCCCTCTGTCCTAACCATCCTGTCCCAGCACCTGCTTGCTTCTCTCCCCTTGTGTCCTTTTCATAACCAGGGCTGTTTTTAAGCTTAGGGCACAAAGTTGGCAAACACCAGGGGAGCTCTTACCGGATATTTGCCCAAATATTACTCCCTCGCATGTGGTTCTTTGGATGCTTGTCACAAGCCTTGCAAGGGCTTTGATTTCAACCCATTCACTAGTAACATCTACAGGAAATTCTGCAGAAAGGCTCTGAATGGAAGAAATGACAGATGGATCCGGGAGTTTAAATCCTACTTCATTAGGCCTGGGTAATTTAGCTCAAAAGCAAGAGCGCATGCCAAAGCTGACGGCCTGCGTTGTCCTGCGTCCTTTCATTACTTTGATGAGAGGTCCTGGTCCTTCCTTTCCCACCAGAGGCTGTTGGCTCCCTGGTGATCCAACGTCCATAACAATGACCTTAAAAATTGACACGTGGATGGAAGTGCAAAGATTTTGTGTATTTATGCTGTACAGCATGTTTTGGTGTATGCACACACTGAAATACTTAAAAGAGACGGGCAGTTCTGCTACAAACTTTTGCTTCTTTTCAGGATGCCCTCACTAACAGTCGATCATTGAGATTCTCTACCGTTGGGAGACAATCTGATTTCACAATTACTTTAGCGTTTCATACAACTGTAGAGTGTAGGTTAGAGAGTAGCCTGATTAAGCTATAGCTAGATAAATAGAGAGAGAGAGAGATAGGCTTTTGACACGTCTTTGATAGAAATTTGAACCTGAACAACTCTCTTCCAATGGCTCAGCGGCTAAGTCCTCACTTTGCATGCAGTGCCAGAATCGCATATGGGCACTGGTTCCTGATCTGGCTGTTCCATTTACCATCCAGCTCCCTGCTTGTGGCCTGGGAAAGCAGAGGACAGGATGGGACAAAGCCTTGGGACCCTGCACCCGTGTGGGAGACTCAGAGGAAGTTCCTGGTTTTAGATGAGTTCAGTTCAAGCCTCTGCAGCCATTTGGGAAGTGAACCAGCAGATCTTTCTGTCTCTCCATCTTTCTGCATATCTGTCTTTCCAATAAAAATAAATATACATATTTTTTTTCAAAGTGAGACCTTCGTGTGTCTTATATATTAGAATTCTTTTTTTTTTTTTTTGGCTGAAAGTTTAGTTTTCCAGCTACGTTGTATTGTTGTTATAAACCATGTTTATACACTAGAGGGTGGGGGAGGTGACATGGAGTTCTTGCTGGACCCCTGAGGACAGCAGCAGCGGCTCATCAGAGTGAGAGGAACAGGTCAGCCACAAGGGGCCCTGCCCAGAGAGAAGGCGCTGGTGAGTTCCAGGGGATAAGGAGAACTCTGTGGCTGGAAGGGGTCAGAGTGGGATCCACCTGGCTCCACTCCCTGTTTCAAAGCACCCCAGCATCCAACGATGCCCAGGGCAAGCCTAGCATTAAAGATGAAGTGTAAGCAGCTGCACCAGCCCTGGTGACGCGCTGTGTTTAAACGTAGCTGGTGATGAACTAGAAATAATACTGACGGCCAGGAGGATATTTCACCTGTCAAGAAGTGTGGTCTGTGAGTGGTTTAAAATGTCATCGCCAGGGCCTGGCATTGTGGGTTAAGCCGTCACGTGTGCTATTGACACTCCCTATTTAAGGGTCAGTTTCAGTCCCAGATGCTCTGCCTGCAGTCCAATCCCTGCTGATGCTGCTGGGAAAGCAAAGGATGGATGCCATCCCGAGTCCTTGGGCAGTGCCACACACATGGGAAAACCAGAGGGAGCTCGCAGCCCCCACGTGGCCGTTTGGGGATGGACCCGTCGGTGGGAGCGTACTCGCTTCTCTACCTCTCTTCTGTCTCTCTGTCATTCTGCCTTTCAAATGAATGCACAAATAAAGATTTGTAAAATAAATAAATAAATACCATTCCGGGGTGGGGGAGCATGGTGGTAACTTAGTGAGTTAATCCTATATAGCCACTGGTTCATGTTGCCAACTGCTCCACTTCCCATCCAGCTCCCTCCCTGTGACCTGGGAAAGCAGCAGAAGATGACCCAAGTGGGAGACTCGGAAGAAGTTCCTAGCTCCTGGCTCCTGGCTTCGTATCAGCCCAGTTCTGGCCATTGCGGCCCATTTGGGGAGTGAGTCAGTGAAAAGAAATGTGTGTGTGTGTGTGTGTGTGTTTCTGTGTCTCTCTCAGTAGCTCCTTCAAGTAAAAATTAATGAGCCTTTTGTGTTTTTTTTACACGGATCGCCTCTTTGCTTTGCCCTGGTCTAGGACATGACTGTGTATTTCACTTCACTCTCCTCACAGCGGAAAGCCCCCCGGGGTCAGGTGGAGCATGCACGCAGACAGGAACAGGAAGTTCTCTAACAGCGGGCACTAAGGCAGAAACGCTGGAGTCTCTGCTTCACCTCTGCGGGCTTTGGTAAGCCTGCCCCTCACCACGGGATCTTCTTGGAACTGAAGAGCTTGCATTTCGATTTTAATTCTTTTAGTAATACAATATGTAGATTTCATAGTTTTTCTATTGTCAGTTTTGGATTTTTAAAAAAAGAATCCACCTCATCTCCAGTTTAACGCACTTCTGAAATATGCACATTTCCATTTTAATAATATTTATTTATTCATTTGAAAGAGTTACAGAAAGAAGGGGGTGGAAAAAGAGGCCACATATCTGTTAGTTCACTTCCAAGATGGCTGACATAGCCAGGCCCAAGCCAATAGGAACTTGAACCAGGTCTTGTGGCAGAAACACAAATACTTGGGTCATCTCCCACTGTTCTTCTCATACCATTAGCAGGGAGATGGACAGGACATGTGACACCCAGGACATTGGCTGGTGCCCACAAAGGAGGCAGGCCTGACAGGTGGTGCTTGTGCCACTAGACCCCAACGCAGGACCCTGCACGTACCCCCTCAATACATTTGCAAAGATATTTCTCACACACTTTGTGCAATTTTATACATAAGAAGCATTTCATTTTTTCAATAAATCCTTCATGCTGATGCTTCAAAAAGAATTTCAACTACCATTCATTTAAAAATGTCCTCTCAGCGTCCCTCCATCTCCCACTCCTCCCACCAGGCTCACCACTGCCAAGAGGAAACTCAGCTTGAAGAGGCCGTAGAGAACAATGCCCCCTTTCCTTTATATATAACCAAAGGGAGGAATGTAAGGAGTTATTTGAATATCTCACCCTGGAACGGCCCTATTTCATCTTCCACACAGCTCACGAAATTCGCGCCAGTCCGGCCGTCCACCAATCAGATGTAACCTGGCATTCCACCTGAGAATCCCACCCCCAATCTCCCAGCCCCTTCCCCAACTCCACCCATTCACCAATCGTTCTTAGGCAATCACCTGTGACAGACTCAAGCACCAATCCCCTGGGGCCTGCCCTCAGTCCCTCCCAATCCCCACCTCCGCACCTTGCTGGCTCACCTGAGTGGCATAAAGATCCCAAAGTGTGGCTCTCTCTCTCTTTTCCTTCTGCCCCCCCCCCCTCTTTTCATCACTGCTCTCCCATCACCTCCATCCCGTTGCTGCCCCGCTGGAATAAAACCTCCGAAGATAATGAATGAATGAATTAATTAATTTTTAAAAATGTCCTCTTGCCCTCTGGCTCATGTCCAACCACACACTTTCATTGTCCCTCAGCAATATGCTAGAGGTCCTTTCCGCTTCTCAGTATAAACAGTGACACACTCAGGAGCGCTTCTGTGGCTTGAGCTGTAAACGCTTCCTCCCAGTGCAGCTTGCTCCATGTTGGTGCCTGGAGAATTTCCCATTCCCCTAAAGCCACAGAGCACTCCACTCTGATGCGGCCGGTTCACTGGGCCCAGTCTCCTCCTGGTGGGTGGGTGTGATGCTTCCAGTCATTGAAAGCTCGAAGACACAGGCTCCTTGACAACATACAGCACTTGTCAGGTGAGAGCAGCCACGGTATTCATTTCTAGACCAAGTAAGATCTCTGAGTCTTCCTGTTTTTATTGTAAATGGTTGCCTACAGTGATGAGCTGAGGTCACATCTGTCCCAACGTGTGCACGCCTTCTGCAGCTTCACCAGCAGCTGCTGTCCGGATGGACCACTTGTTCAGGCAGTCTTGCTGGGTGTTCTCAAACAGAAAGCAGCATGAGAAGTCAAGCCCTGTAGTCCTGAACTACAAGAGGTGAAGCGCCTGCCCTCTTTTCTCTCTTCTCAAAGTCTTCCTCTCTCAGGGTCCCTCACACCCAGGCCATCTGCAGAAACACCCAGCCCTCCACAGTGGTCCAACCCAGTGGCATGCCTGTCTTTCACTATGCGAGGACCCCAGAGGAGGGGAAGGCCGAAGCATCTCTCAGTGGCCAAGCTTGGTCTCCTTGACAATAAAAGTGGGACAAATGTTGGGCAAAAATAAGGCAAGGTCTGTTTCCTTGCACAGACAGCTCTGCTCTCTGCTTGTTGCTCGTGTTTTCTTTCCAGAAGTTTACCCTAATCAGATCTAATTTTGTGTTATGCTTGCTTTCCAAGGACACTATTCCTTTACGACATGAAGGATAAGTCTTTACACAGAAGTCTTATTGTATAATAAAATAAATCATGAAATAATGCTCTTCATTACTGGACAATTTAGCATGGAAAATATTTTCTCTGCTCCCCAGTGAATGTGCCAGCAGTTAACCAGGTTGGCATCCTTGTTGGTCAGAAGAAAGGGGCTCAGACTGGCATAACCCAGGTCGAGAACCATTTGAATATTTAGTAATACGGAGTCCTCTGTCAAGGTGCTCCCTATATAGAAGGAGAAAATGAAATCTGTCCAATAAAAGAATAAGAAACAGATCATGAGAATGAGAGTACTCTGAGTGGCTCTGATTTCAGGGCTGGGATATTTGGCACACCTGGAGCTCTGGAGATAGAGGACACGCTTGTGATGTTTGTACAAATAGAGAGCCATGTACACACTGCTGCAGCCCATGAGACTCTGAAAGGTGAGGTCCCGGAGAGCCATGAGGCAGAGGAAGAGCCATCTGACCATTTGTGGAGCTGGCAGCATGTAGCAATACTCGGTGTATATTCTAACGTTAGACCCATTCATGCTGTTGACAGCTGTGATGTAGTGGAGCAAGTTAGAGCTTATGAGAAAGCTAAAGACCCAGAAGAGGAGGAGGTGGGGAAGAACCTGCCGTGCAGTGCGTGGTTTGAGCTTTTTCCACCAGGTGTTCCTGGGACTGATGGTGATGGCCTGGACTACACTGAGGAGGCAGGTGGTGCAGATGGAGAGACTTCGAGCCACCCTATTGAGGTAAATCATGGTTTTACAAATAATATTGCCTAGGGCGTTACTGAGAAGAAAAGTTGGTAATGTAACTGAGATTACTGTGGCACAAAGTTTCATGGTGTTACTTAAAGTCAGGTGGATGAGAATAGCATCTGTAGGCTTCTTCCCAGGAGCTGTGACAACCATGTGCGCATGCTTCACAAACAGAAAGACATTCCCTCCGAGGCCAGGTCCAGTGAGAGACAGGAAGATCACTTTCTGGATGAAGCTACTCCACTTCATCCTGCACCTTCGTGGACCAGGGCAGGAAAAACCTTTGGAGAAAGACAAATGAGCAAAGTCACCAAGTTTCCAGTGTGGCGTTTCTCTGATCTGCTAACAGGGAAAGAACAGCAAGAATGCCGTAGTGCGTCAATGCATATGGCTGAGCTGGCACCTGACTCTCAACTGCCTTTGTTCCGTATGTGATGGTTATTTTTTGCCTACACACCACCTCTGTAAGACCCAATACACTGTGGTGCTTTGTCCTGGACAGTCTGCAGTGAGGAGCAAAGGCATGGGTGAAGAGTGTTACATCTTTGCCTTGGTAACACTGAGGAATCATTTCTGAAAGGAAATGGTTGACGTTATTATTATGTGTTCCTTGTACCAGCTCTTTTGTCCTGGACTAAACGCAATTCTACCAGCTTGTCTGCTGCACCCGTGTACAAGCGTCACTCTGGGGCGGTGATTTCTGCATTCCAAGGGGCAGCACATCTTCTGGGAGCTGGAAACAAGCATTTCCACAATTCCCTATAGAAGTGTTAGTCACTGGTTACAAGCCAGGATGTGAGCTAAAGGGAAGATGCAAAACAAATTTGGAAATCTTTAGGTTACTAAATCTCAACAAAGAAGAGAATCCTACCCTGAAAAGTCTGAAAGATATGAGAAGGAAGATACACCCATAAATAAATGAATAGATAAACAGATAAATAAATAAATAAGTCACTCAAGTGACTGAAAATGCACCAGGCCAGGAGCCTGTGGGAGGGGCAGCTAACCCCCTTCCCTTCCCTCCTAGGCTGAGAGCACACTGCTGCCTGATGCCCCAGCCTCTCTCACACCTAGCAAATGCAGCAGCCTCAGGCTCAGGGCATCAGTGACTCTGCTGCACACAGTCTCCCTCCAGAGCCACACAAGCAGGTGCTGCTGGATGCACTGGGAGGTGACAGCCACCCTCTCCCTGTGTGCTCACACCTTCTTCTTCCACAGGGACAAGGAAGCTGAGACCCTGTCCTCACCCAGCCTGGCCCTGACAGCCCTGTCTGGGACAGCATCCCTTCCAGAGCAAAGGCAGCTCCCCCTGCACACACACACTCAGCCTCACTCACCGGAGCAGTCTGCAAGGCTGTGGCAGGAGCTGTGGCAGAGCAGCACAGCCAGGCCTGTTTATCCTTGCTGAGTCCCAGCACTCAGGGCCACTCTCCCTGCTGGCTGTCAGCATGTCAGTGTGATGAGTTTGGCTCCTTCTGTGTGCTGTGGGTCCCTGGGGCCAGCTCTGCCCTCTCCCTGCTGTGCCCTTGTCTGTCAAGTCCACAAACATCCTAATCACAGCACCATTATTACAGAGGCAAATATGCTGCCTGACCCTAGAACATCAGCTTTCCACCTGCACTCCTGGGCCAGAGTCATTATAATGCATCATCCAGCAAACTTGTTAATGCTAAAACCCTGTGGTCACATCAGACCTCTCGAGTGAGACTGGGCAGGTGGGACCAGCAGGCTGTACCAAATCAGCTCCCAGAAGATGTATTACCCCCTGGAAAGTAGAAATCAGCACCCCAGACAGGTGCACTGGCGCAGCAGATAAGTTGGTAGAGTTGCTTTTAGAAGAACTAGAAATAATTCCAAATTGGTACAAGAATGAATAAAGGCATTGTGGTATAATTCCACCGCAGAATATTTACAGCACTAAAAAATAATTGCATGTGAAGCAGCAATGTGGGAGGACCAGATGGCAGAGTTATGTCGGTTATGGTACTATTGTAAGAGTTTTCAACAAGCAAAGCTAAAGAAAGTGTAGGGGAATATATTGATCTTTAAAATATCACTTTCTGAAACGTATTTTATGGCCTATGATGTTTTGTACATGTTAACATGCATGTCCTGCATCTTCTTTTGGGAAGATAAAATGTATGTTGAAATGATTGATCATGCCATTTTAACCACATTGTTTCTAATTAATTCACTTAGAAAAAAAATTGAAACTTTATGGTGGTAAGTATGTAAATTCCACTCTGTGGCCCTATCAATATTTCGTTCTATTTGAGGCTTTAAAAAAATGTGTGTAAGGTGAAGAATTGTTTTGTAATTTGAGCCAGCACTTTCATCTGTTTGCACAAGCCATCGCTGACATAGTCACGCTCTTGTTGTCTTAACTATTTGTTGTTGTAGATTCTCTCCAACATTCTTATTGCTGTTAGCAAAAGGAAACCACTTTGTAATTTTCCACTCACCTAACCAATCACTTTAGATTGGACCAATCTCTTACAAAAGGCAAACAGGGGCCTGTTGGCCTGTTAGCTAAAGGCCCATGTTGGCCTGTTAGATAAATCTTCGCCTTGCATGTGCTGGGATTCCACATGGGTACTGGTTCTAATCCTGGCTATTCCACTTCCCATCCAGCTCCCTGCTTGTGGCCTGGGAAAGCAGTAGAGGATGGCCCAAAGCCTTGGGACCTTGCACCCTTGTGGGAGACCTGGAGGCAGTTCCTGGCTCCTGGCTTTGGATCTGCTCAGCTCTCTGTAAATCTGCCTTTTCAAAAAAACTAAATCAATCTTTACAAAAGAAGAAGGACAAGAAGAAGGCAAATGTCAAACTTTAGTGTTTACTTTGATCTACTAGAACCTCCCCATGGTCTCTGGGGTTGCTTTTCCTGCATCCATCAGTGGCTAATACTGGGACCTTGGGAAAGTTATTGGCTTTCTCATGAGGAAATTAATGATTGTGGAGTTACAATATTTAATACCTAACAGGACAATATAAGCATTGGATGTCTTGGAAGTTTCCAACATTCCAAGGCCTGCAGTGACCAAGAAAGGCAAGCAGCTTGCTTCCTCATGGGTCAGGCTGAGGACAAAGCCAGGTCCAGTGACTGAGAAGCATCTCCCCAGGCCCAGGAGCAGCTGGGAAGTTACTAGTGGCCTCAGGATCCCGATTCAGATAACGCCTGTCCTGGACAGCTCTGCCATCTGCATTGGTCAGCGCAGGTGCCCTGGACTCATGACTCCCACATGCTTGTTTCAGATCCTAATCCAATCTCAGAAACATCACCCAACCTGGCCTGACACCCACCTTTCCCAGACCCTCCAGGGACACAGGGAGGGGCGCTCAGACCACAGTCCATTCAGCCAGGGTCTCCAGGCTTGCCCCAGGCCGGGTGTCTCCTGGGGAGCACTCCTCCCACAGTGGTGCAGCCGTGGAATTCCTACACCAGTCTTTCTCCAACATCTCTTCAACTTGTATTTTCCCTGTATCTGGGTCCAGTCTCTTTTTCGTCTTTTTACTCTTTGCCTTTGCTGATTTTCCCCTTATCCACTGCTCAGCGGTACGTGATCATTTCTCTCTGCTCTGTATTCCAGGGTCTTTCTGTTCTACTAGACTCCCCCAGGGAACCTCCACCTGCCTAATCCTGGTGACTGCAAGTGAAAAATGTCGGAGGTGAGTAGAGCTGCAGCCAAAGGCCTTGCAGGAGCAGAAACTTCCTCCGCTTTTTGGTTTTCCAGTTTTGGTGTCGGTGTTGGTGCTCTGTAATGGCCTGTTCTTGAGAGTTAACTGAATGCCCTTAATGTGTTGTGCATTTCACTGAGCACAAAATGAATTAAATTTGTATATGGGTGCTGCTGTCTATTGCAATTTGGGAAGACCCCAAACTGCAAAAATAACAAGACAGTGGTAAATGACGTTCAATGCTTTCCCCCCAAAGTTGCGTAGCTGCATAGGCCATATAGAGCGGACGTTGATGGCTACAGTAACAAAGAGAATCCCTAAGACCCAAACGGAGCATATCAAGTAATATTTGTTTATCAAACTGCATTGCTCATAAGTGCCCACAAGTGCCACCTGCATGTGGCCTGGAAGGTTGTTGTGAAACATGGTGAGGGCACGAAAGAACAACACTTCTAGCTTGTGCACAACAAGGATTAGACGGGTGCTTGAGCAGGGGCGAGGGCTGATGTCACGGTCGATGAAGCCCTGTGGCCTCAGTTACAGAGCTAAACAGCAGGAGAAGGACCCTGACTAAGAGAACCAGGGGGGCTAGTGTGTTGAGGTGCAGGAATGAAAGAGGGGGATATCTGCTCCCAAATAGCTTTTGGTTCAGTTTGATAAAGAAGAAATAATTCTTGACCAGCAGAATAGCTTATTTTGGCAGTTTCCAATTGATACACAACACCAACAGAGTCACAGGAGTCTGTGGTAACAGTAAGAGGATTGGGAAACCCAGCACTTTGGCAAGAATATACAGTTCAGTCCTTTGAGCAGAGCAATTTGTGAGACGTGACCTTGGACATAATCTGCTGTCCCCAATTGGGAAACTTCAGTAGAAACTGTAAGAGCTGGTTTTCTTGGCTGTTTGTCAGCTGGTTTGACAAATCTCCTGTGGCTAATTTTAGAAATGCCCAAATCTAGTTAATATCACTAAGACATTTTACCTTAGGTAAAAAAAAATAGTTGGAACTAATTTGGCCACCGGGGTGAGGTTTGTTAGATAGTTGAACTGAGGAAAATCGACTGGGAAAAGCTGCACGCGCAATCAGCTGCAAGAGACCAGAGGAGGGAAAATGTGAATCTGTTGCTGGGAGCGAGCAACCTGAGTGATTTCTGGTTCAGTTCCACGTGATCGCAACCATCCCTTTCCCCGTGAAAGCCACTTGTTCTACACGAGTAATGGGAGTGTTAAGGCTTTGATGACGCTTACGAATCCACTCACTAACTTTTGCTCTTTTTGAGTCCTGAACTATTGCCCCAGCATGAGAACTTGGCACAGGATTAACTTGGTGAACTTCTCACCGATAGTTTGATAGTTGGGTGCAAGTCCTAAGTGACAGGAGATAATGGAGATGTTAGCAGGAAAGGGTGGAATTCGATCCAGTCCTCAGAGAGTGAAAGTCAACTGGACGAAGATACAAGCCGGCAACTTCTAGCCCGGACACAATCGTGCCAACTGCCAAGCTAGTGGAGACACGCCTCTCTCTGTAAGGTGACACTGCAGCTGTCAGAGAGGTCCTCACATCCCGACCCGC